CAACATAATCATACGAATCGTAAGACGGAGTACTAGTAGTAGTACTCGTCGTCGTCGTCGTCGTAGTAGTAGTGGTATAGATAAACATTAATTGTAGTAGTAGTAGTAGTAGTAGTAGTAGTGGTGGTAGTAGTAGTAGTCGTAGTAGTCGTAGTAGTAGTACTAGTAGTAGTACTAGTACTAGTACTAGTACTAGTAGTAGTAGTAGTAATAATAATAATAGTTGTAGTAGTAGTAGTAGTAGTAGTAGTAGTAGTAGTCGTAGAAATAGTAGTAGTCGTCGTCGTAGTAGTAGTAATAGCCGTCGTCGTCGTAGTAGTAGTAGTAGTCGTCGTCGTCGTAGTAATAGTAGTTGTAGAAACAGTAGTAGTAGTAGTAGTAGTAGTAGTAGTAGTAGTCGTAGTAGTAGTAGTAGTAGTAGTAGGAGTAGTAGTAGCAGTAGTAGTAGTAATAGTAGTAGTAATAATAGTAGTAGTATTAGTAGTAGTAGTAGTATTAGTAGTAGTAGTAGTAGCATAAATAGTAATAGTAGTAGTAGTAGTAGTAGTAGTAGTAGTAGTAGTAGTAGTAGTAGTAGTAGTAGTAGTAGTAGTAGTAGTAGTAGTAGTAGTAGTAGTAGTAGTAGTAGTAGTAGTAGTAGTAGTAGTAGTAGTAGTAGTAGTAGTAGTAGTAGTTAGTAGTAGTAGTAGTAGTAGTAGTAGTAGTAGTAGTAGTAGTAGTAGTAGTAGTAGTAGTAGTAGTAGTAGTAGTAGTAGTAGTAGTAGTAGTAGTAGTAGTAGTAGTAGTAGTAGTAGTAGTAGTAGTAGTAGTAGTAGTAGTAGTAGTAGTAGTAGTAGTAGTAGTAGTAGTAGTAGTAGTAGTAGTAGTAGTAGTAATAGTAGTAGTCGTAGGGCTGACCTTACTGTGTTTGCCAAGTTAAATCCTTGGAATGTAGGAAAGGTAATTGGCGGGGATCCTGAGGGGAGAACCGCCGCTCCCGAAAAGAACGCCATTGCCATACGAAAGCTATACGATTACAATACGAGCACCATGCGGTTACCATACGGAAGCCATACGAAAACCAGACGAACACCACACGGCAACCATACGAACACAATGCGAACATTATACGACAACCATACGAAAACCACACGAACATCACACGACAACCATACGATTGCCATACGAAGCCCATACGAATCTCATACGAAAACCATACGGCTGCCATACGAAAACCATACGAATACCATACGCCTACCATTCGACCCACGAACCCGGAAAGGAATATAGAAATGTAAGGCATTGCAACATTTCAAAGACACCTGATTGGGCGACGGGCACATGCAATGCTGACTGTATCGGTGATGATGTACTGTGCCGAGGGCTGTGCTGTGCTACGCCGTGCTGAACTGCGATGTGCCATGCCGCGATTGTGCTCTATATAGCGTTGTGGATCGAGTCCTCCCTGGCATCCGAATCCTCACCGAACTGATCTGGAGCGTAAGCTCCAGCTGCCTGAACAGATGGTAGCTGCCCCAGAACTAATCGACAGAGGGAACATGCCAGGAGGACGCGCCGCGGAACGTCCCAAGGGACGCGCCAGGCGACGTGCCAGGGGACGTGCCATGGGGACGCACCGCGGGACGTGCCAAGGGGACGCGCTACGAAACGTGCCAATGGACGTGCACCGCGCGACGTGCCAGGGGGACTCGCCACGGGACGCTCCGCGGAACGTGCCAGGCAACATGCCAGGCTGCAATGCTAAGGGTATCGATATTGATGTACCGTGCCGAGGGCTGTGATGTGCCTGGGCGACCTGGACACGTGAAAACACGCGTTTCGCTCAAGACGTTGTCAGCACATCCTCATGCTAGACATCCGCCTGGGCAACCTGGACACGTGCAAACAAGCGTCTCGCTCGAGACATCCTCAACAAATGCTCATGCTAGACATCCGCCTGGGCGACCTGGACACGTGAAAACAAGCCTCTGGTTCGAGACATCCTCAACAAATCCTCATGCTAGACATCTGTCTGGGCCACCTGGAGGCGTGAAACCAAGCGTCTCGCTCGAGACATCCTCAAGACCTGGGCACGTAAAAACAAGCAATCCACTTGAGAGATCCTCAGAAATCATGTCCCCAGGAAAAAACAATCTATAACACAAAACAAGGGTTTCGCTCGAGACATCCTCAACAAATTCTGAAAAAACAAGCGTTTCGCTCGAGGCATCCTCAAATTGTAATTCGCCGGCCCTACTCCCGCACGTAATTTATCGCAGAATAATTTCGCCGGCCCTACAGCCGTCGAAACCGGGGGGGGACCAACTAAAAGAGAACCCTGGGCTCGAGCCCTTTCCGGGAAAAAACATAACCATGCGAAAGCCATACGAACCATACGAAACCATACGATTACGATACGAAAGCGACACGAAAACCATACGACAACTACACCATTACCATGCGACAACCATAGCTTCCCATACCACACGGAAGCCGTACGATTACCATACGATTGCAATGCAACCATCACACGATTACATGCGACAACCATATGATAATCATACGGTTACCATAC